CAGCTCAGCCACTCCGGACTTTGGCAACTGATCTTGGGGAGAATGAGGCCCGCGACCCAGCAAAGGACTTCTTTGGCTCAACATCTGGGCAAACTGCTTGGGGACCTCTGATCCAACCTGGTCAGGCACCACTGAGGCCACTGACGAATCCGGCATCAGCTTGCTACATGAACTCGCTGGTCACGGGATTGGTGTGGAGTGCTCGATGGGCAGGAGGCTTGAGTGAGGACCACTGGTCCAACTTTCCGAGGGTCTTTGAGACCATTGCAGATGTGTCACCAGAGGGAGCACCACTTCTATTGTGGGCAGATGGGCAATGGACCACCTTACTTTCCACGTGGCCGGAACCTTTTAGACAACATGATGTCATTGATTTTGCTCACCACCTTCTTCAACAGCTGAACCCCAACTTTCTCAGTTGTTGTTGGGAATCCCGGCTGGAACAGGATGGGGAAATCCGTGTGGTGGATCAAAGTGCCCTGGGGTGCCCTTTGCACTTATACATCTGCAGTGAGCAAAAGAATGGACTGCTGCCCACCGATCTGCAAGGTTTGATCTCCAACTGGAGCCTGGCATCTTTCGGTCTCCATGGGTTGACAGAACCTGCAGACGTCACATGCCTCCACATCGATCGCTTCGACTCGAGGGGCAAGAAAAATCGAACCAGACTCAGCTGGGACTCTAAGGTGTGGATGCCCTTCTTCTACAACAACAAGCTTGGCATCGACCACATTCCATTTGTGGTCACGGCAGTATCCTATCATTTGGGATCGGAGCCCACCTGTGGACACTATTGCACGGCGGTCCTGGCGGGTGGCTTCTGGTGGGTCTTCGACGACGGCTCCGTGCCGGAGAAGTTCGACCGCATCCCAACTGTGATCCAGGAAAACTGCTGTCTACTGTGGCTCAACTGCACGCCGCATGGGGGAGCAGAACCAGTCTCAAGTCTGACGGAGGAATCTCCAATTCTCTCTGAGGAGGAGAAGCTTGCGAACATCATTCATGACCCCTCCATCAATGATGACTGGCACCACAAATGGCTTCAGGCTATTGACAGGCTTGATGCTGACATCCTGGTGGCCCACCCGGGACTATGCCATCGGCTGGTGAAGAAGTGCATCATCTGCCAAAGTTGGCCTCGTGACATGAATGCGCACCTTGAAGTGGCACATCGAGAACTTTGGGAAGCATCCCAACAGATTGCAGAGAAGTGTGGAGCAGCCTTCAGCGCGAAAGCTCATCCTACTCGGTGGTGCGCTTGCCAGCCCTACTACACCACTGAGCTGACTGAGGACCATCCGTGTCCCTGCCTTCGCCAATTTGGCATTTTGCACCTAGCTCTACGCCGGAGTCAACCAGCTCAGGCCAGAACAAATCTGGCTCGCTTGCTTGACATGACCTTCAGCTGAAAGCTGAAGCTGGTTGTCCCCACGGGGACCAGGCGGATCAAAAGGATCCACGCCATCATCACTCGATGAGCGTATGGAAAGAAAGATGATGATGATGATGATGATGATGATGATGATGATGATGATGATGA